TATACTGGTTTGATCTAGCTGTGAATTTCCATGACCTAATCAGGGTATGCTGTAAAAGACACAAAATGCTAGTTTCACGGCAGGCCAAGAAATTCAGAATAAGGAACAGCTTGGTTTTCAAGCCAAAAACTGAAAATTCCCCAGAACAGAATAAATTGTCAAGTTGCTTCAGGGAGGAAAATTCATGTAAATCAATTTTTCATTCCCACTCACAGTTCCAATTTAGCAATTTGCACAACAGCCAGCTTTCTCTCTTCCTTCTCATTTCCCCATTAAAAGATCTGATTTCCTTTGAAAAGGAAAATAAAGCTTCCACTATCTCCAAAGCAAGAGAGTAGATGTTTGAAACACGACAGAACACTTACTGATTTGGCAAACACTTACTAAGCGCTTATTGTATGCCACCAACAGTGCTAGGCATTGGAAATACACACATAAATGTCCAAAGAGCTTTGTTCATGGGTGTTCCTTGTGCTTAGAACAATCCCCCAGTTTATCCACACCTCATCTACACATGCCTTCTCATCTAAGCTGAAACAACACTCTCTCCAGAAAAGCTTCCTCTGACTCCCCGTCTCCAGCTCTTGGCCCATAAAATTGTTTGTCTTTCTAACGTTCATCAAACTTCTGATTACTCATTTAGTACCTGTATCCTGTTAGACTGTAAGCTCCCTGCGATTCGGATCTACGCCATTCTATTCACTACATTATCCTCGGTGCTTGAGGGAAGCTCAGTAAGTTTTTATTGAATGGATGAGTGTGCCACAGCCTAGCACGTTGGAAAGAGGAGACGAGCATAAATAAAGTCTCTACTTGTATATGCGGGGCAACAAACAGACGGCCATGAAAGAGACAGATCTGCTAAAATTAAACCTGAGGAATTTCCCTGTGCTGCCCCTCTCCTGAAGCTGGATGCTGCTTTCTAGAGGCATAGCTATAGTGCTCCTGGACCGATGTCTCTCAAACTTCAATGTACCCAGGAATCACTTAGAGATCTTATTAAAATTCAGACTCTAGATCAGCAGGTCTGAGGTACCCCACCTCAGAGTGGGGTAGAGTCTGCATTTCCAATGAACTCCCAACTGGTGATGCTGCTGCTTCACCAAACACCACAGTTTGAGTGACAAGGACCTTAGTGACACCTTTTTACCATTCCCAAAAATCCATAGTTGTCTACACTTTTGTAGTTGCAGATGACTTTTTTTAAAAATAAATTTATTATTTATTTATTTTATTTATTTATTTTTGGCTTCATTGGGTCTTCGTTGCTGCAGGCGGGCTTTCTCTAGTTGTGAGGAGCAGGGGCTCCTCTTCTCTGTGGTGCGTGGGCTTCTCATTACAGTGGCTTCTCTTGTTGTGGAGCACGGGCTCTAGGCATGCAGGCTTCAGTAGTTGTGGCACGCGGGCTTAGCTGCTCCGCGGAATGTGGGGTCTCCCCGGACCAGGGCTCGAACCTGTGTCACCTGCATTGGCAGGCGAATTCTTAACCTCACACCCAATCCATCCAGTGACAGACAAAAGAAATAACACTTAAGTGAAAAATGTGTTACAGAGAGGCCTTGTCTTCCAGAGACAGTTGTATTATGTGCAGTTTAGTCACATTAAACTGCAGAGTGGAATCAAAGCCTTGGAATTTCCTCAGTGAGGGACACAGCTTTCTCCTCAGTTCATTTCTGGAATGACTTTGTTCAGGCAGTGGAAAGATTACACAGCCACCATTAATAGAAGTAAACTTTTCTTAATATCAAACCTAAAATTATTTTAAGATAAATATCTTATTTATCCTAAAAATATAAATTATATGTGAGGTATAAGAAATAATGATAATATGATCTAGCAGTCCCACTCTTGGGCATATATCCAGACAAAACTACAATTCAAGAAGACACATGCACCCCTATGTTCATAGCAGCACTCATTTACAATAGCCAAGACATGGAAACAACCTAAATGTCCATTGACAGAAGAATGGATAAAGATGTGGTACATATATACAATGGAATATCATTCAGCCATAAAAAAGAACGAAATAATGCCATTTGGAGCAACATGGATGGACCTAGAGATTATCGTACTAAGTGAAGGAAGTCAGAGAGAAAGACAAATATCATATGACATCAATTATATGTGGAATCTAAAATATGACACAAAGGAACTTATCTACGAAACAGAAACAGATTCACAGACATAGAGAACAGACTTGCTTTTGCCAAGGGGAAGGGGGATGGGGGAGGGATGGAGTAGGAGATTGGGATTAGCAAACGCAAACTATTACATCTGCTAACTAATACAGAGGAGCATGTTTACACACTGGCTCCTGTCCCCATTGTTTAAACATTACCCATATGGTGTCAACTTTCTAGCATTCCAGGCTTGACCATGGGTGAAAAATGACAGAATGAGTTCAAATGAGTATTCCAAGCTGGGAGGCAGAGAAATCCCAGCTCATAAAACCAGAGATATGGTAAAGTAAGATGCTGTCAGGTTACACCTGGGGCAGCTGGTTGCTACAACTGGAATCAAAAAGTGGGCTAAGAGGATGTGAAGTGGGGCAAGAGATGACCAATACTGATATAAATAATTGGATAATAAATGGAGGACAGGCAACAACTCTTCCTTACAGTAGAATTCCATGAATAAATGTAAAGACATAATGGAAATAGAAGATCACCATTATTAGGCAAATATTACAGAAATGATTGTTGCAGACAGGAAGCATCCGGGGATACTAAAAACTAGTGAGTGAAAGTGTGATGGGAAACAGGATATTTACATGGTCTAAAAGTATCTCCTGTGTGGGATGAATTGGAAGATTGGGACTGATATATATACACCACTATATATAAAATAGATAACTAATGAGAACCTACTGTATAGCACAGGGAACTCTATTCAGTACTCTGCAATGACCTATATGGGAATAGAATCTAAAAAAGAGTGGATATATTTATATGTATAAATGATTCACTTTGCTGTACAGCAGAAACTAACACAACATTGTAAAGCAACTATACTGCAACAAAAATTAAAAAAAAAAAAGTATTTCCTCACAAGATACTTAACTACAAAGGGGAAAATAGTACTTTTACGGTGGAAAAACCTGGCAGGCACCCCTTTAATCAAAGGATCAAGGTTAACAACAATAATAAGACATATTGATGTCTTCCTGATAGAATGCACTAAGGCCACGGACATCACTTCTGCAGGATTCTAACAACAATTCAGAACTTTAACCTAATCACAAGAAAATATCAGGCCAACCCAAATTGAGGGACATTCTATAAAATAACTGCCAATCTTCTTAAAAAATGTTAAGGTCATGAAAGAAAGACAGACTAGGGAACTATCACAGATTGGAGGAGAGTAAGAAGACATGAAAATTAAATGCAACGTGGGATCCTGGATTGAATTCTGGACCAGAAAAAGGACAAGAGTTGGAAAACTGACAAAATTCAAGTTAAGGCCTGTGGATTAGTTTATACTACTGTATTAATGTGAATTTCCCATTTTGAGTAGTTATATTATGGTTATGTAAGTGACATGTTAATTAGGAGAAGCTGGGGGAAAGGAGAACTCTATGTACTATTTTTACAACTTCTCTTTAAGTCTAAAATTATTTCAAAATAGAAAGCCAAAAAGCTAAATATTGAAAATCAACTATATTTCAATTAAAAAAAAACTAAATACTGGTGGATCTTATTAAAACACAGATTCTGTTTCAGTACATCTGGAATGAAGCCTGAAGTTCTGCTCTTCTGAAAAGCACTCTGGTGACACGGAGGCTACTGGTCCCAACAACATATCTGAGTAGCAAGACTTGTTCCCTCCTGTTGTATTAAGATGAAACTGACACTCAATAAACTATGCATAAAGTGAATAACTTGATGAGTTTTGACATATGTATATACCATGAAACTATTCCCACAATCAAGATAATGAATTTATGGTTGGCAGGCAATTCTACACGGCTTTCTTGTTTCTGCTTGTCTGGTAAGCAGAGGTACTGAGGCCTCTGTTGTAAAATAGAGATAGTGTCTCCCCCCAGAGTAGAGGGCAGTTTTGTTTCCTGTCCAATATAATAAAAATTATGTCCTCTGGAGCAAGCATCGGGCACACTTGCTTGCAGCCCATTACAAAAGACTCAAGTTTCCTAAGCTCGAGATTGCTCAGCTGTACTGCAAACCCACTGTGTGCACAGCATCAACCCAGACAATCCACACAGGAGTTAAGAGGCAAAGGAAACCAATGCAAATATGAAGGTTATGATGTTTGCTATGTCATGAGTAATAAAGTCTTTAGTCTCTGACCCAGGAGTCTCATATCTGCTGCCAGTATCCATGGAGCTCGTTAGCTTCCAAGTACAGTAAAACTTCAAACTCTTCTCAGTTCTTGACAGAGTTTGGTGATGAAACTGGGATGCTGACAGAGGCAGGACCTTCTGGGAGAGACAGGACAACCCTGTGGGCTGGGTTAAAGAATATGAGAATTCCCTGGGATCTGGTGGCTAATAACCTTGCCCAAGTGGTGGGGAAGAGGGAGAGGTAATTTAGTAAATCTAAGGTATTTGCCTTACAATCTCCACATCCTAGTGGGTTGTTTCTAAATAGCAAAGAATCCACTATTAGTCCCTATCACCCTCATTTATTTTTTTCCTACAATTTCTTTTACATAGCCAGATTCTTTACATATATATATATATATATATATATAAAACACATATATATACACACAGATATATATATGTATATTTTTGGCTGCGCTGCACGGCTTGCGGGATCTTAGTTCCTCGATCAGGGATCGAACCTGGGCCCTTGGCAGTGAAAGCACGGAGTCCTAACCACTGGCCCGCCAGCGAATTCCCTAAAAATAATTTTATAATATTTAATACAATTTATAGTCACATACATTTCAGAAAAGTCAGCTCCACATACCTGCCCCTTCCTGTCCTCCTCATTAGACTAATAGGACTTTGAACAACAATAAAATCAAAACCATACCCCTTTCTTTCTTCAAATAATTGAATGTTTATTATCCTTCAAAATCCCTACTACAGAATGAACCATGGGCTCCCCTTCGGTCAGGGAATGGAATCCAGATTGTCCGACTGAATCCTCTGCCATCATCATCGGGATGTCGCTATTTATGTGTGCGGATGTGAAGCAACGAAGAGAGAAACACTAAAAAAAAAAATGGCTTTAATACACAATATGTACAGATCATTCACTGTTTCGTTTTAATTTCCCAAATAATTTTAATGATAATTTTTATAATGGATTTTAACAGCTGCTAGGTTAATTCCGTCACATTAGCATTTGAAAGTATGTTTCTTCCAGTTATTTAAAATTTTTCTAAACATTTAAATATACAGTATATTTTCACAATAGATTGTATCATCTTTTTTCCACTACAAAGAATTAACTCTCATCTCTAGTAATTTCCTCTGTGCAAGAATGTAGAGTATAGAATAAGCCTAAACAGGATCTAAAGAGGCAGGGTTACAGAAAACCTTTCTTCTCTAACCATATTAAGCCTCATTTTTTTCTTCTTCCAGTTAAAAGGGAAACACAAGCCCAAATTTATCTTGAGTCACAACCGAAGTTAACATATGCTTATTTCTCTGTGACGTTCTTAATGTGCAGAAACCAAAACAAGAAATGGTATTAAATAAGAATTTCCAGGTAAAATTAAAAAATAAATCCAAAAGTTAAAGTAGACAAAAGGTAACGGGAAAATTCCCATACACATGAAAAAGATTCCTTTTATTCTGCATCCTTGATTTTATCTATAGATTTTAACAATGATTTATGATGTTCTCAATGACCATTTAATAAAACTATGAAATTCATAAAGAACATGAGAGAAATAAAATTATAAATTTACTGATGCATACAAATTGGAATCTATATTAACTGTCTTGCACAAATAGAAAAATTTTGAATTAATTTTCCACAAAATCATTCTGAAATATTTACACAAATCAGCTTATTTTAAATAAAAAATATTTTTAGGATTATGATACCTATGTACAAAACATGTATTTGTACACTTTACTTAACATTCTAAGTAAAGGTGTCTTTGAAACTTTTTTGCTATTATACAGTGTTAGTACCACACTACATAATAAGTATGTAAGAAATACAAGAGCTCTTCTGCTCAGTACATTACAAAGTCATGTTCAAATGCTATATACATTTTGCCCAGAAGGATTTGAAAATGCTACTTAATGACTTCTTAAGTCACTGGACTGATTTTTTTAAAAAGTTTTTAAAAAGGATATTCCTTTAAGGATATGGCTCCTTTAGCAAACAACCCAATTAGCAAATGGACAAAAGATATGGACAGACATTTCACTAGAGGATAAACAGATCGCAAAAGAGCACATGAAAAGATGTTCAACATCATTATTAATTAGGGAAATGCAAATTCAATTCACAATGAGAAAACCACACACTTATCACAGTGGACGAACATAAAAAACGGTGACAACGTCAAATGCTGGTGACAACGTGGAGAAAGTGGATCCCTCATACATTGCTGGTGGGAATGTAAAATGGTGCAGCTATTCTGCAAAACAGTTTGGCAGTTTCTTGTAAAGATACGGCTCATTTAGATTGGAAACCTTATCATTTATTTTCTACACAACATAGGTATCTATACAGACACATCCATTTTATTTTAATAAACCAAATGTAATGTAAAGTGGGGGGAAAGACAATGGAAATAGAATAACAGAGAATTTCCGAAACATCTGATTCTGCAGGTTCCTGCCTCTATCATTCCCATTCCCATGATCATTCCTGCATCCTTCTAGGGGCAAAGGTCCCATGGGAATATGGTGACAAAATAACCAGTGACTCACAATAGATGCTGGTGCCAAAATACTTACAGCTATGACTATCCAAAACTTTAAAAAACAATGTGATTCTTGACGGCCTATTTGACTTCTCTGGAGTTACCCCTTTAGGCTGGTTTGAACCAGATGACCTGGATTTGAGTATGCAAGATGAGGACTCTGGGACCAGATAGATCCAGGGTGTGTTTTGGGCTTTTAATTTTAATTGAGAAACATGATATAAATTTCCCAAAGGGATTCAGAATCCGCTGGGATAGATTAAAGCCTTCTAGGCTATCTCTGGGATGATTAGAATCACTTAAAGTTGAAGAGCCCCAGGGTCCAGCTATGTCTCACCTCAAAGAATTTTAAAATTACTGCCAAACTCCTGGGCTAGATTACTTTTCAAATTAAAGACTGGTCCTCAGTATAAGTGCCTTGCAAAAGCGGGTATTTCTAAAGTTTCTTCCCTCTAACATGAGAGTGTTTGGCATTCCTAAGATTCAATCTGTTAGTCAACTGCAGTCAAATACACAAAACCTGTGAATAGGAAGGCTTCAGTTGTACCTTCGAAAGTTAATATGTATATTTATGGATGTGTATCTCTACACAAATAGATATGCAAATATATAAACATACAAAGACTTTAAGAATAAACAGTATGAGGATTCTAGTTCTCATAACAAAGTAGTCCTTCTTAATCCAACAAAACATCAAATAGAAGCTGCTCCCTATCAAGAAACACATGTAACATCAAGGACAAAATGTACATGCAAAAAAAGTTGCACTTACAAACACAAAGTACAAATTCATCCCACAAATATGAAGGCACAGAGTTAAGTTCTGTGGAAGCAGACATGTTTTCTGCTTTCAGGGAACTTCTAGTTTGGTGGAGGCTTGCGCAGAGGCAGATAAAAGAGTAATCATCTCCTTTGTTCAGAGATGAAAAGGAAACAAAAAGGCAGATCAAATCAAAGATGATCTGGAGACTACATTAATCCCATACTGAAGTCATAAATTCACTCATTAAGACCACAGAGAATGCAGACATGGGGGTGAGGGTAGGTGGATAAAAACAGCAGAAGACAATTACAGCATGACATTTTTTCCCCACCTCATTAACCAGCAAAGCAGAAACGCTATTTACTTTAAGATACTACTACTTCTTTTTGCTAACAACTATTTCCTAAGGTAAAAATGAAGCAGAGAGAAAAGGAGTATGATAGACACTTTACATTCACTGAGTCTTCAATTTTCTTCCAACAGTCTACATCACTGGTTCTCAACTGCGGGGGTGATTTTGTCTCCCAGGGGACATTTAGCAATGTTTGGAGACATTTTGCCATCATTAAGTAGATGGATGCTAGTGGGTAAAGGTCAGGGATCTGGTAAACATCCTATAATACATAGCACCCAAAACCAAAGAATTATCTGTCCTCAAATGTCAAAGATGCTGAGGTTGAGAAACCATGTCATGGTTGGATATAAAAAAATTGAAAAATCAGTAAGTCTATAGTATAAAAGCATTTAGTACCACTTTAGGAAGGATTGTACAGGAAGATTCTCCTCCTTGATAAGATAGCTACAGATCTCCTAAAATTATCTGATAGACCCATAGTGAGGAAATAAAACATGCTGAGAAATATTAGCATAGAAATTTTTTTAACTTCAATTATTAGCATACGTATGAAAAATAAACTTGAAAGGACAATTTTTTGCTAAATTGATTCTGATAATCAGCGCTTTCTACAACCACAAAAGCAAATGTGGTCATGTTTCTGATTTAGGTCAAATCTGACAAAAGATCTAGTAAACTGTGTTACTAAAAAAAAGGCCAGACATATTAAAAATAGAAGATTAACTTCTAAACTAATGGAAGAAAAAATTAGCCACTGATTTTTGAGGAGATGCTCAATTCCAGTAGAAAGATATTCAAAGTTATTTTTCCACATTATCTAAAAGATATTTCACCTTTATTTTGTGATTTCATGATGAGAAAGAACAATGTGGAAAATGAATGAAATAACAAATGTTTAGGTATTAATAATATCACAATTCAGTACATCCTAATACAAAAAGACAATTATTTCCTATGGACATCATACCCACTGAGGAGCAGACTCTGTAAGAAATAGTAAAACAGAGTGGCTTTCATATGACTTTGATAAGAAAGCTTTTAATTGGCCACTAAGTTTTGTAAAAAAGGATGTGAATAACAGAAAGAATGAAACGAGTAAGATGTTATCTACATAAGGGGATCTGACTTATTACAGTAAACAAAACACCTTGGCTTAACAAAAATATTTCCAAGTCTAATGTCTATTACCTGTCTCTGAAATGGACGTACATGATAGTAACAGCAAACTTCCCTATAACAGTCACTTCTTTAATTACATTATTATTTAACAGTGAGTTCTATAACAGTAGGACTTTATGTGATATGATAAAGCCTGACCAAGAGGGAAATAAATACATTATTGCTGCAAATCTAAAAGGAACCTAGCCCCAAAACAGGGAGGGGCAAATAACATGAGAACATGTTGGAAGGTGGTCAACTTGCCTTAGGACAAGTTTACATCTGGCCTGAAGCTACTCACAACTCTTAGCTCTTACCTTACTCTACCCTGTTTCTATCAAGTGAGTTTGAAAATGTAGGACTCATGCTGTTCCTCTCTGTGGATCTCTGGCTCAGTGGCTGAGGGGCAGTCACTAGCTTGACTACACTCCCATCCCCTCTGTCAGCTACCTCACTGCACAAATCTCAGAGAGGTGAGTAGATTGGACAAAAACAAGAAAGATACCTGGACAAGCAAAATACCCCAATGAAGGCAATTCTTAAGTCAGCAATAAATTAGGGCACTTTCTTCAAATTAAGCTCTGTCGACTAGGCACTTAATAAAAACAAAAGACGTTTACACCAGCATCTCAACAAGTAAGAAGGATAGAGAAGAGGAGAAGAAAGGCAAGATTTATATTTACTACGTGTATTTTGTAAAAAATGAGATTTTATACTTTACCCAGAAATTTTTGAAAGAAATGCTATCTGAGAAGGAAAGTATTCTCCTATTCCTTATGAATCAATACCCTTTTTGGTTTTATTAACTAAAATGATTTTTTTCAGTGTTTTTCAATATATAAAGAAAGCTCAGATTTTGGTTAAACAAGGAAAAATTAAGGCAGTGTCTTTAAACCCAATAAGGGAAAGAATTGACTACCAAATGAGCCTATCTAAGAGAGACACATTGAGCTAATATTTGGATACAACACTGAACAATTATGGCTTTAAATAGAAAATATTAAAATTCAAATATCAAAATTCCACATTTTCTTGGTTATTCTTTCTTTTTAACTATATGGGCTTCAAAGAGCCCACTTCATTTTAAAGAATTAAGGAAACACTTTTCACATCATTTTGGAACAAAACACGAACAGTGCTTGACCCGGAACTATTAACTCAGATAGTAAACAATTATGTTCATATTGGCCCAGTACAAACAGGAGGAGGACCCGTGACTGTCAAAACATGGTTGGAAATAGCTAGCGTCCTTTGGAATTTGCTACAAAACAGAAGAGTTAAAAGTTCTGAGGTATTGTTGCCTTACAATCTTACCAAGGTTTAGAATTTTTTCAATGAGGAGTTTTGTTTTGTTTTCATAAAAGCAGTGCTTTTTCTCTCCGGTTGCAGAGCTCAGCTCCAGTCTTCTCCTCTCATTCATGGTCGTATTGTTGTCCCTGAGCTTTGTCTCATCTGCACATCACAGCAACCAGCCATGCGTGGTTTCAGTCATTCCGTTAGTGCTATGTCTTGTTATACCAATTCATGGAGCGTTTCACTGCTTTGACCCAGTTTCCCATATTCTTTTCATATTCTTGCCATTTCTTCTGTGGCTTGAAAACTATTTCACTTTGCCTCAGTTTCTTTAGTTCCTCCTTGTCAGTCCAAAACCCTATAGATGAAAAAATTTACTCTCAAGTTTTAAGGCAAATAATGAGTCCATAAAGTTTATCCACAAACCTATGTGAACTGGTGAACAGGTGAACAGTTATTACTTTAAAACACAATTCAAAATATTTTGTTGCTTTGAGCTTGGTTAGATTGACTATCCCTGCGAATAAATACATCAGGATTTTAAAATCTTTAGGTTTCTAACTAGCAGCTTTATTTCTGTGTGGAAGAGCACCAGATCATTTCTAGAGCAACCACATTCTGCCATCATTTAATTTCATGACTAGCTCTTAAGAAAAAAAAAAAAAAAAAAAAAAACCCAAGTAAGAAATAGTAGGGGCTTCTCTGGTGGCGCAGTGGTTAAGAATCTGCCTGCTAATGCAGGGGACACGGGTTCGAGCTCTGGTCCAGGAAGATCCCACATGTCGTGGAGCAACTAAGCCTGTGAGCCACAGCTACTGAGCCCACATGCCACAACTAGCGAAGCCCGTGTGCCTAGAGCCCACGCTCCACAACAAGAGAAGCCATCGCAATGAGAAGCACGCACACTGCAATGAAGAGTAGCCCCTGCTCACCACAACTAGAGAAAGCCCGTGTGCAGCAACGAAGACCCAACGCAGCCAATAAATAAATAAATGTATTTATTTATTAAAAAAACCAAAGCAGAACAATGACAAATTAAGGTTTTTCTTTTTTTTTGGCAACACTCTGCAACTTGTGCAGTATATTAGTTACCCGACCAGGGAACGAACCCGGTCCCACAGCAGTGAAAGCACAGAGTCCTAACCACTGGACCGCCAGGGAATCCCCCAAGTTAAGATTTTTGTCATATATCTTGAGGTAAGAGGCAACTCCTCAGGATATGCATAAAATTCAAAGTTGGGGATTAATATAAAAAATAGTTTCTTTTTCAAACTATTGCATTTCATACAAGGCTTTTAAATTCCAGTTCAAAATAATCTTGTAGTTCTGGCATATATTGTTCTTTACAAAGAGGATCATGTGATTTATAATAAAAAGCAGCAAGAAAACATATTATAACTACGATCATATGTAGTCTGAAATGGTAGCGATCCCTTGTTAATAAACTTGGTACATCTCACTTACTCTGAAGTATTAACATAGTTGACAAGTCTTCAAGAAGTACATTTTTCTCTTACCAATAAAGCTGACACATAAAATTCTTTCTTCTAAAATTTTCCATCAGGCCACATTCTATTTACAAAGTCAGTGTTTTAGACTGTCTATATTTAAAGATATTAATTATTTTATGGAAGTTATTAAAAGACTAAAAATAATCTTTATTAGTGTACTACAAGTAGATAAATCTAGTCATGAAAATAAGTATGTTCTTAAAATTCTTATTTCCAGAATTTATTATTTACACTTAATGGCATACATACTCTTAAAAGTCACTTTATTAAATGTGTATTGAACAGACAGTTTCTGGGTGAATTTTGAAAATACAGAGAATTTGCGTAGCCTTCATGTCTCATATTTCTTTTTTTTTTTTTTTTTTTTTTGCGGTACGCGGGCCTATCACTGTTGTGGCCTCTCCCGTTGCGGAGCACAGGCTCCGGACGCGCAGGCTCAGCGGCCATGGCTCACGGGCCCAGCCGCTCCGCGGCATGGGGGATCTTTCCGGACTGGGGCACGAACCCGTGTCCCCTGCATCGGCAGGTGGACTCAACCACTACGTCACCAGGGAAGCCCCATGTCTCCTATTTCTGAGAGAGAAGTAATCCAACCAGAAATTTCAGATTCTCTGAGGAGGTAAAACTGTTCCCTGTAGTTAGTGAAGTATCTCTGTATTGAAAAGTTTTGAAATTAAATACAGATAAAATGAAGTAGATACAACTCAAGCCACTATGTTATATGTAAGAATAACTTGCATGTGTCTGTTATTTAAAGTGTATTAAATGTTCAAGAGAATTTGACATATTTAGCTTTATAAGGTGATAAGTGTAGATCAATTTGATTAACTTTATAAACAATATTGGAATGCTTATGAGCATTTGGCTTACTGTAATGATAAGCTTAATTTATTCATTTTTCAAGAGCTGTTTAAGTACTGGAGAAATTTCTTTGTTATAGTTCTAAGTTTGCTCAATTAGTCATGTGAAATTATTAAAAATAACATCAGCTGTATTGTACTTAAGAGTTGAAACATACAAAGTAACTTAAATTTGTAAACGGGAATGACCATTTAAGGGGAAGTTATTTTCTTCAACCTGAATTAATCAAACACCAATCAATGAACAAATGAAAGTGACTGTTTCAATTTTATTCAAAGTTAACAGATTTTTAGTAGAATAAAGTATAAGGTGAACTTACCAAGATTTGATGCTTTTTGGGTCCATAACTTTAATTGCTAAATAACAGCCTAAACTTTTAAGTGTAAGATATCCTGTTTTGTACAAACACTCCTCCCTTCCATACAGGAACACAGGAAAACACTCCCAGGGTCCCAAGCGTCATCCTGCTCCTAAAGAGCCCTCTAACTGGCCTCCCCATGTCTGTTCTTTACTCTTCCCAACTAATTAGTGAAAACACTAATTGCCAAAGTGATTTGTTCAAATATAGATCTAACCATGTCCTTCTGCTTAAAATTGTTCAGTGGCTCTCCAATGCATTCAAGATCAAGTCCAATCTCCTCTATATGAAGAGGCCACCATGACTGGACCTCTATGTACCTCTCCAGCCTCCCCTCTTGCTCTCATCCTATCAGCACCATAATGGGCCAGTACCTTTGCACGAGCTGCCTTCTCTACTGGACCACTCACCTCTATTCTCTCCTCACCTGGTTGTCTGCTAAGCCCTTCAAAATTGAACTATACGTTGTCGCCTCTGGGAAAGCCTACACCAATTGCTTGATACTGTGGCTGTTCGCTGGACTTATCACAGAAGAATAATAATGGGTTGACTTGCTTGACTGCTCCCACTGGAGACTCCCATAGCAGGGACTATATCATTTAAACTCTATTATTCCCAGCAGCGACTCTCATGAAGCAGGTGCTCAACAAACGTTCACTAAATGAAAGAGTGGAGTGGTTTCTAATGCCAAAGACAAGCTTATCTAATCAGAAAGTTTACCCAGAGACATTCCCTTGCTAAAGACCAGAACAGTTGAGAATTAGCTTTCCTGGTCTCATTCTTCTGACTGAAGGAGAGCACCAAGGAGGGAAGAGGTGCAACCAGGCCCACCCACAGAAGAGATCACTGGAACATTTTGTGAGTGATGTGCATATGTGTATGGGGTCTAATGGACACCAAGGCTTTCCAGACCCTCTCTATCTATAATTTTGTGATTTGGGAGGAGAAATGCTATCTGTAAGAAATGGTTTTGCAAGACAGCTCTCGTTTTAATAAAACCCACACGTACCAACAGCAAGACCAGCTAGAGAAGCTGCACCTACGCAGGACATATCAATGTGGACGGGTCTGTCTATCGTCTCATTAATCAGGTCTGAAGTCATCTGCATGACAAAACTGTTCTTACAAACTCCTCCATCTGCTCTGTGGGGAGAAAGATATTGGAGATAAATTACTGTAACAAAAGCATAAATACATTATTAATTCTTTTTTAAAAGGCCACACATTTTTTTTTAGATCCTTGATTTTATTTTTAAAGTTTAAAGATTCTTATAATACACATATGGGTGCTAAGATCCTCTCAGATTCCATATCGGGTTTTATTCTCCTTAAATCCAAACTTAGCTTTCCTTCCTCTCCAAATTCCTATGATCAAGAATTTTGTTGCAAAGAAGGTAAACATAAGTTCTTTTTGAAATCCTGAATAATCATAATCATGAAAATGCCAACAGCAGCTACCACTTAACTTCCAATTTCTAATTAAATCTATTAGGAACAAAGTTTACCTACCGGATTTTTCTTACAGGAATGTGGATCTCTTTCTGCATCACCTCATATAACTGTTTGTTTCTAGTTAAAAAAACAAGGAAACTATTTAGAGGCAGTTCATATCATAATAATTCTGTTTTTTTCCAATCTAGAATAATAACTGTGGTTTTATTTACATGACATTTATAAAATATGCAAAAGAAAACACTGAAGAAATATATTAGGCTAACTTGATGTCAATAACAGATGGTCAAGTAAACAAGAGGTTCAGGCCCTTCTGTTTTTCACTTTGATGCAAAAGAACATAATTTTTATTTCAGAACTAAATTTAATCTATTACCATTCCTGCAAATAAAAATGTAAAGCAAGCATCCATTTAATAGGTATGGATGACACACCATAAATAGCATCTAATAGAAATCAAATATAAAAATAATGATTTTGTAATCAGAGAAAATGTTATTTTAAACATTACAAATGTTCCATTTGTTCCATTCATGACAGCTGCGTTTTTAATTTTAATGAGCTACACCTGCCCCGTAACAAAAAGACCAAAAGAAATATACATAAAGAATAATTCTGATGAGTCAATCTTTGAGTATAAAAGAAGCATTATTAGTTAGAATTCTCCTTCATGAATAAGGAAATAAAAGACTTTGAAAGTCCAAATTTTGAATCCTTTATGCTTAATAAATTGGATATTTTAAAAATCATTCAGTTTTCAGATATCAAATCTAAGTGGTACTGGTACTATTAAATGTGAAAAAAAAGAGATGCAAAAAAATTAGTAATAAGAATAGATTATATCATATACAGTATGAATTAAACTAAAGGTATAAACAGTTAAAATTAAGAAATTTTAAAATTTAGTTTAGTAGAAATTAATAAAAGGAAATAGCGATACTGTATGGGGAGGGGGGAGTTTCGGGCAGGTTCTGGTACCTGAAAGCTATGGACTCCAATATTGCTCGTACAAGGTGGTATTTATTGGTGGAAGACTTCAAACCCATAAAAGAGGCACATGCACAGGGGTCATTTAATGGAGCCTGAAGTAAAAGACAGTAATATATTATTACTGCTCTAAATTATATCTATAGACTTGAAGGTATATTATACAATAAAAACATAGCCATGTTAGAAAAAAAAAGAATGCTCACTCATTTAGAGATAAATAGTTTTAACATAAATGATAGCCCCAAAATGATGTTAACTATTCAAATAACCTTTTGATAGGACTTAAGCAAGGATGAGTCACAGATATTAGACTTATGGGCTGGATCTTCTGTTTGCACCTGTACCAAGAAAAGGGACTGAAGCCCAGAGTAATAGATTATGAAATGCTTAGCTTGATATATGAGGAAAATGGAAAGCAATGCCAGTATTTCCCCTTTTCTCCAACTGTAAAGTGTTTACACTGAAACTGTTTACTATGTAGAGTGGTTTTTTGAAGATATTAAGTTAGACTTAAGATAAAAAAACTACAACACAAAAAAAGTGTTTTTCAGTGTCATAACTTACACCCAATATGTTGTCAGACTTTCAAAGTAAACTCTATTTCTTAGCTTAAATAGTGTTTTTTCTTTTATTTTATATATTTTATTTATTTATTTTTGGCTGCATTGGGTCTTCTTTGCTGCGCACGGGCTTTCTCCTAGTTGCGGTGAGCGGGGGCTACTCTTCCTCGTGGTGCACGGGCTTCTCATTGCAGTGGCTTCTCTTGTTGCAGAGCACGGGCTCTAGGTGTGCGGGCTTCAGTAGTTGTGGCTCGCGGACTCTAGAGCACAGGCTCAGTAGTTGTGGCGCACGGGCTTAGTTGCTCTGCGGCATGTGGGATCTTCCCGGACCAGGGCTCAAACCCATGTCCCCCGCATTGGCAGGCGGATTCTTAACCACTGTGCCACCAGGGAAGTCCTAGGCTAGGTCATTTATGATATTAGGCAATAACACTAAAGAATCTGCCTGTCAATGCAGGGGACACGGGCTCGAGCCCTGGTCCAGGAAGATCCCACATGCCGCGGAGCAACTAAGCCCGTGCACCACAACTACTGAGCCTGTGCTCTAGAGCCCGCGAGCCACAACTACTGAAGCCCGCGTGCCACAACTACTGAAGCCCGCACACCTAGAGCCCGTGCTCTGCAACAAGAGAAGCCCCCGCTCGCCACAACTAGAGAAAGCCCATGCGCAGCAACGAAGACCCAATGCAGCCATAAATAAATAAATAAATAAATAAATATTTATATTAAAAAAGAGAACATAGAGCTGTAGATTTAAAAGAAAAGGAAAGAAATGACCCTGCCTAACATCTGCATTTAAAAGGCATAATCTTGAGCTGGAATTATGTATTCATCAGATGAAGTTTGTATTCATCTTTGTGTAGCCAGAAATGCAAGACGATTCTGGGACACAAAGATGAAACACAAAGATCCCTGTCAGGCCTTGCCATCTCACAAGGAAACAGAAGAGTCCCAACACACCTACGCAAAGTCATGACAGAGGGACAGGCTAGTGCTGTCAGGAAATGATGGTCCCCAGAAGCTCCTTCTAGCTTCAGAGCTTGACATACCATCTTTACCTGGAAAACTTTCTACCACACCTCCTCCTAGTTAATCCTACTCCCCTTCCAAAGTTTGGCTCAGCTTCCTCTGGGAAAACTTCGAATCCCAGAAACTAGGTCAGGTTCCCCACTATCCATTTTTATGGAACCTTGTAACTTCCCATCATATCATGTGCCAGTTTATAATCACAGATATTTGTGTGATTGTTGAAACTCCATCTTCTGTGCTACACTGTTAGCATCACAGGCAGAAACTCATCTGATGTGCTCACGGTGTGTCTCCAGGGCCTAGCACTGCACCTAGCCCCACACAGGGGATCAATACGCATTTGTTGAATCCATGAACAAATAATACTTTTCCTAATGCCTTAAATGAAGAAATTCTATATTACATCTTATCTTTATCATAGCCATGATTTTCCTCCTTGTGATCTTATCTTCCAAATTTATTTTGAAAGAGAATTTTTCGAACTTATTAAAACATCTTTTGGTGATTCACTCAGTAAAAGCTAAGTTATATAGTAAAGCTGGTCTATATACCAAGTGATATAATACTGTATGACAAAGATGGGTCAGACTCAGCCAGTTCAATTAGTCCCTAGTAGTATGTGATGGGTTTTTTGTGTTTTTTATGGCTGTGCCGCGTGCCTTGCAGGATCTCAGGTCCCGACCAGGGATGGAACCTGGGCCCCGGCAGTGAAAGAGCTGAGTCCTAACCATTGGTCGGCCAGGGAATTCCCTTGCTATGGTTTTTTTCTGCGTAAAAATGACTTCTTCCAATATACCACATAAAATCCTGGCCTGAAATCACTTTTGTACAAATAGCTATGAACATAATTTACCGTTAGTAATAGGCCAACTTGAGGGGTTATAAATTCCATAGAAACCTAAAAATTTCTTAATAGGTTACAATGTCCCTGCATTTGTTAGTCCAATTGAGTCTCTCTTTGGGATGATAAAGTAGGAAAAACACTGGCAAGGTACTTTTAAGGGCCTGGTCACACCTTGCCAGGGCAGACAGCCTCCAGCCACACCTCCAATCTATCACTGCCAGGCCCATCAAGTGAGCTTTCCAGAACAGCAGGACTCAGCAAAGTTGTGTGTGGCTCTCTAAGCAAAACCAGCAGACTCCTGCCCGGGCCACAGGTCCTTGTCCCCACTGGAACCTCAGCTTAATCCGCTGGGGACTTGCACAATGGTTAAGGCCACCATGCCTCTTGTCTTTGTCAACCTAGACCCTAAAAGTAAGTTCTTCTGGCTCCAGTTATGTATTCCTGTTGTCAGAGTATTTTATGCTCTCCCAGGAAACAGCAGAGTGGTTAAGAATCTGGACTCCGGAGTCCTAAAGCCATCTCTGTCACTCACTAGCTGTGTGACACTGCCCAAGTGATAGAACTGCTCCAAACCTCAGCTTCAGGATGGGATGTTAAGAGTATCTTCTACCTTGTTGAGTGACTGAGGATTAAATGAGACCGACGCGTGTAATGAATTTAGGACAGTGCCTGAGACATAGCGAGTATTCACAGGTTAGCTGCCACTATAATTTATATTTTAATTGTCATTTCTTACTCAAAGCCTTCCCACTATTACTTTCTTCATAACTCTTTTACTATGCCTTTTCAACTTTTCCTTCTGTTGTCAATAAACTCCTCTAACTCTTAACTCTGAGACGTGCCTTCCACTGATTTTGTGGTTGGTTGCTATAATGAGCCTGGCTCTGTGCTGGGCAAATGGCTTCAGCTGCAGCTATGGAGTGGAAGGTCCACAGGCTTCCATACACAAGGACCAGAAGGACTGTTCTAGCCTCCCATGACCACCGTCAGCCACCATGCATCTGCTGTCAGCAGACACGTCGCCTCCCCCGTGTTTGCTTAGGCCCGCATCAATATCGTGCTTTATATCCCTTTACCTTTGCATGGCTCAGATGTCCCAGTCACACACAGAACTAGGGGGGGAATTACAGGGGGAGGGGTTCTCAGCAAACTGCTTGAATCCTTGTCTAAAGCAGCCATGTTTCATGCCCTCGTCCTACTGCTGCCACCACAACTGCAGGGGGAGAGCACAAGTCTGTCCAAGGCTTGAAAAGACAAGGTGGCCCAATCCGATTCCCTCCCCTGGAATCTGAAAGAAGAAGCGCTTCAGAGGGAACAGACGCGAAAAGGATGCGCAAGATGGAAAAAGGTTGTTGTGTTTATATCCAAACTGTGAAAAGGCAGAAAGTATAAGGAAAAGAATGACAGTTAAACAGAAGCTATGAGGAAGAAAGGGTACAGAGCAAAGCTGGTAAGGAGAAGGGAAAAGCAGAGCCACAGAGAGGCAGAAACCACAGAGAAGAACACTGAGAACTGCTACGTCAGTTGTCAACTCCTTTCCAATCCTGGTGCTCAGGAGTGTGTGAACAGCCAGCTCCTCTTGGGCGGGCAGGGGATGAGAGGGAGGTGCTCAAGCAAGCCTGTTCCTTGCAAACCCAAGAACCTTCACTGGAGCATGACTCCTCATCCGCTGAAGACTAGGACTTGGTTCACGGTCCTGCCATCCTACTGTGTATGGCCAACATCACAGTAACTTTAACATCAGGTAGATGGCCACTGATTCTTGCCTCCGATACCTGTGAGGGATGCTCTGCTCTAGCATGCCCCTCCCCAAACCTAGACAAAGCCACAATGGCTGCACCAATTGATGCCACTCTGTGTACAGCCCTATGCTCCAGCCCATTCCCTAAAGTGGCTGCCCCACAAGTTCCCCCTGTCCTCGAAGTTCCTCCAATGCCCCTTTCTCAGATGATACCCCTGAGGCTATTAGGAGCCTTCAATATCCTGCCCACCATTACTGGCAACTTTAACAATATTCTAAAATTAAAGGCAGTATCATAGATACTTGGCCCTTCCTTCCTTCCATTCTCCTAGCCCGCATTTTCTCTAGTTGTTGACGTTGGCAACTTACAGGTGATCTCCCCACTATTTTCTGAACACCTTAGTATCAACACACTATTGTTGTTTGAATTAACTTTTGGTTTCCAATTAAGAGTTTCATTTTACATCAGGAAATAATGAGCCTGCGGTCCTTCCCCACCCCACCCACTTCAACATACTGCCAGGTTGCAATCATGGCAGGACAGGGACATTTTGTTAGCAACATGAAATTAAAATCACATCTGTGATAGTGTTGTCTAATCTTTTGGACTTTAGCAATTCTTTGGTTTCTTTAATCACATAGTTTACATTATTTTTACAGGCATATGAACTGGTGGAGAAGTTAGAGTTGCCAAGACAGAGTCACAACTAGGTCCCCCAGCACATTTTTCAAAAAGGGAAGAATCCACAGTAACCTAATTAAACCCTCCCTTTGCTGATGACAACTATTCATCCAACCTTCCTCCTTAAACCTCAATCAGACAAATATTCTTCATTACCTGTCCTATCATGGATGCTATTTGGGTGCCTCACATCACTCTGAAGAGGATGCAATGCAACCTCTTTATGTAGTTAATACACTTTTAGTCCTTTGTGATAAAGTATATAGAAGGAAATTATTACAGATATTAAAATAATGCTCATTTAAAAATCTAGTTTGAAAATATGGTATTTTTAAGGATTTAAAACCATCCTGATCTAACTCCTTTCACCAGGTTCTACATTGTATTATCCAAACTTTTAAATTTTGGATTTTTTGTAACTGATTGCTTGAGTATAGACGGACTAGAAGAAAGGGAAATTTTTATTTTTTGAAAGAAAAAAATATTTAGAGGAGTATTAAAGGACTAATTATCCCCCAAAAAAGGAATTTTGTTTATAATAATATACTTGAAAACAGTTTGTAAAAGTCTTTGTAACACTCTGCTAAAATTAAAGGTAGTATCAACAGATCTTTCAATTAAATACAAAGTTAAATATTACAAAATCAAGTATTTTACTGAGTTCACTTTTTAGTTAGGCAAGGTAACCAACATCCCACATCATAACGGTTAACCAAAAGAAATTCTGATGTTTTTTTAAAATGTTAGGGACTTGCCTGGTGGCACAGTGGTTAAGAATCCGCCTGCCAATGCAGGGGACACGGGTTTGATCCCTGGTCTGGGAAGATCCCACATGCTGCAGAGCAACTAAGCCCGTGCGCCACAACTACTGAGCCCATGCGCCACAACTACTGAAGCCCGCACACCCTAGAGCCCACACACCACAACTACTGAGCCCATGTGCTGCAACTACTGAGCCTGCGTGCTGCAACTACTGAAGCCTGCGCGCCTAGAGCCCATGCTCCGCAACAAGAGAAGCCATGGCAATGTGAAGCCCATGCACCACAACAAAGCGTAGTCCCAGCTCGCTGCAACTAGAGAAAGCCTGCACGTAGCAACAAGGACCTGATGCAGCCAAAAAAAAAAGAAAAAAAAATTAATGAAACTTATAAACAACTGAAAAAAATAAGGTATAATATATACCTTAACATTATTTTTCTAATTCTCAATGGTACACCTTTTCTAACTAAAGAATGCTGATCTATTTTCCCCCACTGGTAAATGGCTATTTTTGGTCATGATAAAGTAACCATGGGTCTTATGTAAAAGTTCTATAATAAACCTGCCAACTTTTAGTTTTCACAGAGATGGAGTTCTGAGCAGAAGCCAGCAGAATTTGCCCTGCCCTCTCGTGGAATTCATGCTAGGTCAAAACACAACTTCTCAGCCCTAGAAAGTACCTTTCACTTCAGTTCTGTTCAGTGCCCACATTTTCAGATACATAATATTAGGTGTGAGTATGAAGAGGGAAATGTTTGTAATTGCCATTAACTTAAAAAAAATACCTGCAATCCACTAAAAGATGGAACAAAATAAACTCCTTCAGAATCTTCCAAACTTTTGGCCATTTTTTCAGTTTCAGCAGCATCTGTGAACAGATCTGCAAAAACAAAAACAAACAAACAACAACAACAAAACCCTAAAACAAAACGAAGGGTTTGGGGAGGGACAAACAGAATTATGTTATATGACTAGTATTCACCTGCATCAGCATTTATTACGAATATAATGTGAGAGGTCGCTCACTTAAAAGGGTCAACACAAAGGCAATCTGCCCTAGTGCTATCTGGGTTCTCCCACTGCAAAGGTTTATGGCCCATGGAAAGGACAAGGGAGACAGAAGACCCTCTTAGATGGGCTCTGGATGTAACAGGCCTTACTTTTTTCCTTTAAAGATAATTGGGCTGTTTAAGAATCAATTCTATGTATTTTTTGGCATTAAAAACTTTATTCTCCTAAAGATTACACCCATTCTAGTTTTCTGATGAAAAGATCATCTATCTGTAACAAACAAGAGAGTCAACTGAAAAACTATTCCATCTAAGGAGTTCAGTAAAGGGCCAGTAACACAGAGATACACTAAAAGTCAATTTTTATAAAACAAACAAAAAATCAAGATCTAATTTACTTAGTATACTTTTTTATTGAAGTATACATATAGGAAGATGCACAAATGCTAAATGTACAGCTGGATGAATTTTCACAGTGTGAATACACCCAGGAAACCAACACCTAGGTCAAGATGCCAACTTCTTTTGCTCAACATCATGTTTGTGAGATTCCTTTTGTTACAAGTAGTTGTACTTCATTCATTCTCATGCCTGTATAGTATTCCATTCTCACCATATACAGTTCATTCAATTATTCTACAGCTGATACGCATATGGGTAGTTTCCAGTTTGGGGCTAATATAAATAGGCCACTTTGAACACTCATGTACCTTCTTTTTGGTAAGCATATGTATATGTTTCTGTTTGTTATATACCAAGGGATGGAGTTGCTGGTCCTAGGATCTTCACATTTAGGACTAGCTTTAGCAGATACTGCTGAATCATTTTCCAAAGTGGTTTTGCCAATTTAAGGCTCTTGCCAGGCATGTGAGAGTTCCAGTTATCCCATATTCTTGTTAACAATTGATACTGTCTATGGTTTTCATTTTTACTGTTTGGTGGTATTGCACGATAGCTTGATTTTGTATTTCTCTGTTGACTAATGAAGTTGAAATCCTTTTCATTGGCCATTTGGATACACTTGTTTGTAATGTGACTCCTGAATAAGCATGTGAGACTGACAGCATAGATCAGATGCAAAAGATCAGGAATTGGTCATAATAAATATTGCTGGCCTTATACAGTAATACTTAAGTTGGTTTTATTTTCTTGTATGTTTTGTTATTCTTATAATGAAGAATTGATTAAAGACAAGACGTTTAAGGAACACCTATGATAAAACTATGGTTAATGAGGATCGCTCAATAATTATTACAAATTCTACTCAAAATGACAGTTATCAGATCCATAAGTTACATTCATTTGTTCAAAATGTCCAATAACACATCAAAATTGACAGCACTTCAAAAACTAATATATTAAGAAGAAAACACTGCTCTTAAAATCTATACTTTGAAGAAATCATGTCCAAATGTCTAAATTTTTCAACCAAGATGTGGAAAACATACTAGATGGCTGGTTTGAGGAAAGTTTTTGGTAACAGACAAAGAAACAGGGGGAAGAAAATCTAGTTTGTCCACATTCTTTACTGGTTGTTCTATCCTTGCTTGAAGAATTTCTCTAAACAATCTTCTTCCTAAAATGCTCACCAATGAGCTGATTAATGGAAAGTCCTGTGGAGTAGGCAGACTTCACTCTGTCTCTCCCAGTGAATGCAACTAAGAATCCTGGATGCAATACACAGAAAAGCTATCTGAAGACTCAAAAGAATAAGCTAGCAGTCCAACCAAGGAACTCTGAGTACCACCAAACCAGCAGTGAGTTTCCTGTTTTTTATTTTCTCTGATATCTCCTGTCCTAGAATCAGGGACAGCCTGAAACCTGAAACTTGGGTCTGTACACCAGGTACAAATATGAAGAGCTTCTGAAGAAGCCCCTCTTTTTGGTCTGAGGAGTGAGAGTCAGGGGTCTCCACAGGACAGAGAGTGGGGAAATGATCCTGTTTTTTTTTGTTTTTTGAATGTTTTTTCATTCTACCTGAATGAGAGAGAAAAAACATTGTATCTTCATGTTTTTGCAAAAACAAATAGGAAGGATAAACCAAAAACAAATGTAGTGATTATCTACAAGAGGTAGGAAGACAGGGTGAAGGGAGAGGAGAGGGAGTCAACTGCTCCTTCTTTTATGAATTTGACTTGGAAATCATGTTAAAATTCCACATTAAAAAAATGTTTTTAAAAAGGATGCAGAGGGAAAAAAACTAAAAATGAATGGTAACAGAAACAAATGAACCCAGTTCTTTTCAAATTAATAAACTCACCGAAGGGAGAAGAAAAAGAATTAATCCAGGTAATTTGAATAGCATGCTTGGACCATATACCCTTAATATAAAGAAAAAAAAACCTTTGAACATTGTTTGTTGGAGTGGTATGGGTCTAGTAACTCAAACTCTTTGGTGTATATTTTAAGATTGAGCAAATAAGTACATAATATTAATGTTGTTGGGAGCCAGGTTCTCGACGTGGTTTTTTCCACGTCGAGAAAAAACAAGTGGGAGACAAAAATATAGAACAGGGACCCTGCTCTCTCTCTCACACACACACACACACATTTCCAGCTCTGCTACAAAGGCATTCCAGTCATTGTTCTTATATGTTTTTTAATTTTTTTAAAATTTATCAAATTGTACATTTACTTATTGGCTGCACTGCATAGCTTGTGGGATCTTAGCTCCTCAACCAGGGACTGAACCCGAGCCCTCAGCAGTAAAAGTATGGAGTCCTAACCTCTGGACCACCAGGGAATTCCCCCAGTCATTGTTTTTATTTTTTTAATAAATGTATTTATTTATGTATTTATTTTTGGCTGCATTGGGTCTTCGTTGTTGGGTCTTAGTTGCTGAGCACGGGCTTTCTCTAGTTGCAGCAAGCGGGGGCTACTCTTCATTGCGGTGCACGGGCTTCTCATTGCAGTGGCTTCTCTTGTTGCAGAGTTTGGGCTCTAGGCGTGCGGGCTTCAGTAGTTGTGGCACGTGGGCTCAGTAGTTGTGGCTCGCAGGCTCTAGAGCGCAGGCTCAATAGTTGCGGCCCATGGGCTTAGTTGCTCCGCAGCATGTGGGATCTTCCCGGACCAGGGCTTAAACCCATGTCCTCTGCATCAGCAGGCAGATTCTCAACCACTGCACACCAGGGAAGTCCCTCATTGCTTTTAAATACCATTTCCCACTAAAAGGAGGCAGGGCTCATTGGAAAAGTGGCTAATTCCAGGGCAGGGATACAAAAAACACAAGATGAGCTTAAAACCACCTTGTGCCAGAAATTAAGGAAGTGCTCAAAAATAATACAGATAGACACTTCAAAGACATAGAAGCTAGACTGAGGAAGTTTTCACTGGCCAAATCTGGGGCTATTTGAGCATGAAAAAAAATAAACAAATAAGAACTGTAAAAATTATAACCTGCTGAATAAGATAAGAAACCATGAGTTTATACCAATAATAAATTAACAGAGGAGAAGGGAAAGCTCTTCCTTATATAACAGAATGCTAACTAATAAACAGAGGGAAAAATGGAGTTAGAAAGCACCATTTTGCAACTATCATAGTGAAGACTGATCCAGGTAGGAATCATCAATGAAAGCTAAATTTAGGGGATGGGGGAAGTTTGGTGAGAAAAGGGGTATCTAGCTAATCTCAAAGTATCTCACCACATATTATTTATTACAAAAAAATGGTAATTATACAATGGAGAAATCAGAAAATATCTTATGCACTTGAACAAAACTGACAGAACCAAAAGAGGAGTAAGAGGCACTTTGCATGTCCAGGTATGTATTCTGAGAAAGACACATTATCACTTATGTATAATTTCAGTCCAAACTATATAACCTGGATCTAGACATGAAACACCAAAATTGAGGGACATTCTATAAAATAACTGACTTATATTCTTCAAAAATGTCAATAGAAACAGAATAGTTGATGAAACTGTTCTAGATTAAAGGAAATTATACAATAAGCAATCCTGAACTGGACCCTGTATTGGAAAAAAATTGCCATGAAGGACAGGATTGGGACATCTGACAAAAGTATTGTACCCACCGTTAAATTTTCTGAAGTTAATAACCATACGTTAGCTATGTGAGAGAATATTCTTGTTCTTAGGAAATACATAGTGAAATACTACAGGAAAAGAAGTAAGATGCATGCAAGCTATTATCAAAGAGCTCAGAAAATTATATAGATATTTATCTATCTTATAGCATATTGGATGGATAGATGGATGGGTGGGTAATAGATAGATAGGTAAAGCAATTATGGCAAAATGTTGAAACATAGGGATAATCTGGGATAAAGGGTATACAAGAATTTTTGTACTATTTTTACAAGTTTGAAATTATTTCAAAACAAAAAGTTAAAACAGTTCTCATTTTCTCTTCTCTCTTTCTCCACCCCCCCACATATACGTATATAAACTCACTGAAACGTATATAGGGTAACTTAGATATGTTTAAAAGAGATTTAGTGTATCAATCTACCTTTTATGATTTGCATACTTTTACCATTTTTGGGTTGGAAATTTAAAATGCTTCTCTTTATTTGCATATTAATAAGCATTCATCACTTTCATCTAAGTACTAATTTTTACAGAATTATAGTCATTTTCTTTATTTTCTGGACACTATTAAATTGTGTTTCAAATGTTTTCCTTGGCCCTATGCTACTTAAGAAAAGACATTTCAAATTTCCATGTGGCTAAGTACCATTTAAATACTGTTTTTACTATTCATTTCTAACTGTATTACATAACAGGCTGAGATGTCCCACTCTTGTTTTTTTGTTTTTGTTTTTGCGGTACGCGGGCCTCTCACTGTTGTGGCCTATCCCGTTGCAGAGCACAGGCTCCGGACGCGCAGGCTCCGCGGCATGTAGGATCTTCCCGGACCGGGGCACGAACCCGTCTCCCCTGCAT